GGGTCACAAAATAATAAGATTATTAAGAAATAATAAAAAGCCAGAAGATAAATTAAGAGTGTAAGGTGCATATCTAACGATTTCCCATCGAAATTCTCGCAATTCTCCTCTTGATTGATGAGAGAGATAAGCAGAGGCCTCAAGCAGAGTCCTTAGGCATCGCTGTGGTCAAATATGGTTCTTTGAGTAAGTTTTCTCTGCGCGTTTTCGCGTATATTTTTAGCTACTTTTGTAAAAAAAAAAAAAAAAAAACAATTTCATAATAACCTATAAACTTTCATCCCTCTAAAAACAAGAAAAAAAATGAACAAAATGCCCTAAGCAATCCCAGAAAACCTTACTTTGACTGGAACCATTCCATTTTTACTTTGTCTGAGCTCCGTCTTCAAGATCGTAGTGGTGATGCCAAATTTCATCCTCGCCTGCATTTCGCCTAGGAAAGCATTCAGATAAAATCAGAAAAATAATCAACAATATTATTGGTCCTCGCCTGGCATCTCGGCTTCAGTCACTTTCCTACCGCCGTAACGTAGCTTCTCTGTGCCTCTTCTATATGATGGTTATTGAGTGAGATTGTAAGGGAAAGGTGCTCCTGTTATATATTTAGAGATTCTTGATAAAATCCAAAGAAGAATCAGCAATATTATTGGTCCTGACCTAGCATCTCGGCTTCAGTCACTTTCCTACCGCCGTAACGTAGCTTCTCTGTGCCTCTTCTATAAGATGGTTATTGGTGAGATTGTAAGGAAAAGGTGCTCTGTTATATATTTAGAGATTCTTGATAAAATCCAAAGAAGAATCAGCAATATTAGTGGTCCTGACCTGGCATCTCGGCTTCAGTCACTTTCCTACCGCCGTAACGTAGCTTCTCTGTGCCTCTTCTATAAGATGGTTATTGAGTGAGATTGTAAGGAAAGGTGCTCCTGTTATATATTTAGAGATTCTTGATAAAATCCAAAGAAGAATCAGCAATATTATTGGTCCTGACCTGGCATCTCGGCTTCAGTCACTTTCCTACCACCGTAACGTAGCTTCTCAGTGCCTCTTCTATATGATGGTTATTGAGTGAGATTGTAAGGGAAAGGTGCTCCTGTTATATATTTAGAGATTCTTGATAAAATCCAAAGAAGCAGCAGCAATATTATTGGTCCTGACCTGGCATCTCGGCTTCAGTCACTTTCCTACCGCCGTAACGTAGCTTCTCTGTGCCTCTTCTATATGATGGTTATTGAGTGAGATTGTAAGGGAAAGGTGCCCCTGTTATATATTTAGAGATTCTTGATAAAATCCAAAGAAGAATCAGCAATATTATTGGTTCTGACCTGGCACCTCGGCTTCAGTCACTTTCCTACCGCCGTAACGTAGCTTCTCTGTGCCTCTTCTATATGATGGTTATTGAGTGAGATTGTAAGGGAAAGGTGTTCCTGTTATATATTTAGAGATTCTTGATAAAACCCAAAGAAGAATCAGCAATATTATTGGTTCTGACCTGGCACCTCGGCTTCAGTCACTTTCACACCGCCGTAACGTAGCTTCCCTCTGCCTTTTCTATAAATACTTTGTTGATAATTGTTCTGGTGGTCGTTCGTCTACCATACCTAGATTCTATGAATTTAAGTGCAGCACTCAATTGGCTTCAAAGTTTTACTCTTAAAATGGCTAAATGTAACCGTAAGTTCTATGCTAACAGTTTCTTCTGTCGTACTTCTCGCTTGTGGAAATCTCTTCTGGCTTCTTTGTTCCCAGTCAATCTTCAAAAATTTAATTGCAATGTCAATCGTTATCTTCCTCTTCTTAATTTTTGTTCTTTTATTTTTCCTCTCTCCTTAACGGTATTTTTCTCAAATTCTTTAACACTCAGCACCCCCCCATTGCGTCTTAGGGGCTATAATGCCTTGCTTAGAGTGAAATTATTTAAAAAAAAGAAAAAAGAAAAAAAAGGAACTCCGGTCCCATTGAATTTTAAAATTTCTATTGAAACTTCTTTTCCTGTCTATTGCTGATCTGGGCGCAATATTTTTGGCAACACAATGAGATTTGCTCAACTATAATATTTTCAGAAAAAAATGTGTGGGCTGAACCAGCTGTGATATCTAGGGTATTATCTATTATGACTACTGTTAATCGTCGGTAACACCCAATTAAATAACAAACAGCATCGGCTTTTCGCTCACAAACTGATAGTCAGCTAATTCGTTTGTCATCTACAAATATGTTTTGTTCTTTGTTGTAACGAGTTATCCATTCGTAAATTTTTTTTTCCGGCCATTATCTCCATACACATTTATCAACACTATCGGAAAAAAGGGGCGGGGGGATTGGGATTTACTATTAATGCATAATTTTGAGGATTCGGTTAAAAGACATTGGGGAGAATGAAGATCAAGCGACAACAAGGCACACCGTAAAAATGACGAAAAGCATTCAGATAAAATCCAAAGAAGAATCTGCAATATCATTGGTCCTGGCTTGGCATCTCGGTCTCAGTCAATTTCACACCGCCGTAACGTAACTTCCGTGTGCCTTTTGTTACGTATTGATAACTGTAACAAAGGGAAAAAAATGATTTACCACAACACAGAGCTAAATCACAAACAAATATTTAATTTACTAAAACACAACATAAAATATATACAAGATAAACAATTGTGGCCTACAAAACTGAAAACACAGAGTTACTGGCGAAGTGTTACGAGGAAGAAGGAAAGGGAATCAAATATCTTTATCACTTTAGGGCTAGTGAAGTAATCTAAGTGCTATATTTGGAAATCCACAAAGGTGTGTAAATAAATATTCATTTTTAGTTTGGTCAATGAAAATTAGTCAAAATTCTATTTACCAAATTTGTTCCATGAAATTCTCTTTTGGGTTTTGGTTGGTCGGCAACTTTTTATAGAGATTCTTTTGGCTGGATATAATAGTCCTTGAATCAAAAGCCGGAGTTGATAACAGCAGAAATTCCCATTCATCAACTGACAACCCTTTTCCAAAATCCCATTTTTATAGGGGCTAACACCTAATTTGCATTTTTCTAGATGTTTTTTGAATCATCTAGATTTTTCTCGAATATACTAGAATGATCTAGAATCTTCCAAACATTCTATTTCTAATTTCTCTATTTTAAAACTACTTCATTAATGAAACCTTTTTGTAATAACGAGTAGAAATCAGTGGAAACCCTTATTATAGAAATGCATCCTCGTAACACTTTTCTATAAATACTTTCTTGGTAATTGTTCTCATGGTCTACGATACCTAGATTCTATAAACTTAATTCGCTGATTCTAACTATACGCGGCCGGTTCTGGTCCCTAACCCCCGCAAATACCGGGGACACACTGTATTGTAGTAGAAAAACATTTCTGTTTTTTCCTTCACCTTCAGTTGAACTCCTTCCACTCCGTGGTTAAGGGACTTTGCACGCAGGCTTGCAAAGTTCAGGTTTCAGTAAATTATTTTATTACCTTTATCCCTTCCCCAAAACTACCGAGAGCCGAAATCTGCTCACCAAGACACCCAAAAAGGTCCTCATTCTTCCAAACAAGTCTTACTATAAACTAGATGTTAGTTCTTGCTTCAATGTTGACAGAACTCATGATGTTCTAAAGAGGTGTATTTTTAAAACTGTTATAACCCGCCTCATGCCGGTTACATGTAATCTTACTTATTATAAAACGCAGATTGTGTGTGTGTCTGTATATTTATATATCGGATCGGATTTCCTACATTTTTCAACCGATTTCAACAAAACTTCACAGGACTGTGTAAGATTACCTTGCAGTGGTTCTGACAGCGCCAAAAATTGAAAAAACACAATTGGTTTTGCACGAAATCAATTTGAAAACACGATTAAGAGGCATCGCGAGAATGAAAGGGGGACAACTCATATCGAGTTATACTTAAAACCCAGGTTGTTTGTGTGTGTTTGTTTATATATGGGATCAGATTTCCTACATTTTTCAACCGATTTCAACAAAACTTCACTTTTTGGGGGGCAGGTAGTGTTTCTTATTGTCTTGCACACTTTTTTCTTTATTTTTACATTCAGAATGCTTTAAAAATTCCATTTACAAGACAATTGTTTATAATAAAATTCTATTCAATCGATAGACTCATAACGATTGAAAACAATGTTTTCGTTTGAGTTTGTGTTTGACCAATTCGTAAAAAAAAAAAAACTAATTAAGACATGCGTGTCCGTCAACCTTAAACAATAATCTTTGTCAATTTTATTTTTCAGTGTTTATGATGGTCGATACTTGATCTATCTCTTACTGTTACATCCCCGGGCAACACCGGGCTCTACTGCTAGTATTTTATAATATAATATTTTACCATACATTTGCTGTTAGTACGTGCTTCAATTTTGACAGGATTCGTGCTGCTCTAAAAAGGGTTATTCTTAAACAGGCGTAATCTTTAGTTTGTTACCCCGAAATTCTACCGTTCCATACGAATTATAATACATCAATACAAATTTTCTTTATTGCAGACAAATAACAAAATATTAATATAGTTTTCACACGGCGTAATTTTTCTGCGATTTTTTTAATGCCACTGGTATGTACATCCTTGTTAAATACCACAATTGTTTAGTTGATTGATTATCGACAATCAACAATAAATATAGCAAGAATTAATGGTGTTAGCAAAAAGTTTGTTGAGAGAACTGAACAGTAGAGCAAGTTGATTTTTCATCTTTTTAGAAAATCAACATAACACTCAGTGTGAAAGCTGGGATTTTATGTGATAAGTACTGACACGAAAACATAGAATCATAGCTTTTTACAAATCCGTGAGCATTTAGTTTTAAACATTGTCTGAAAAAATGTACAGAATGACCTAATTTCCACAGATTTTTGCTTACAAACTGACTTCAAAATTTTACCGTTTCAAGAATAAATCCAGATAAAGTTGATATCTTTTGTATTAAATACATTGAATGGAAAATATATTCAAACCAGAATTCTAATTATGTATCACCACGAGCAAAATATACA